CCTAGTATCCCCTAAATCCGAAATCCTTGATCCTAAATCCTAAACCCTAAACCAAACCCTAAACCCCAAACCCCAAACCCAACCCTAAACCCCTAAAACCCCTAAACCCTAAACCCCTAAACCCCAAAACGTCGGTAAGCCCTAGAAGCCCAACAATTCGAAACCCTTCACCTTGCAGCCCGAAACCCCAAAGCCCAAAATCCTCAGAGCCCCAAGCCGAAGCCAAGCTCCGAATAGTGGGAACCCATCGCTCCCTGATTGCTGGGAGGGGGGGGGGGTTGAATTTAGGCTGTTTGGGGTTGAGGCTTTAGGATTTTTTGGAGGGTTTAGATTTTGAGGTTTTACGATTTTAGGGTGCAGGGTTTAGGGTTTTAAGGTTTCTAAGGTTTAGGGTTTTGGGGTTGAGGGGTTTAGGATTTCAGGGTTAGTTTAGGTTTGGATAACGGTCCTGGGAGGATGATTGGTCTTAACATCTTAATACAAATGCTAACACTAAGATTAACGGTTACTAATACTAAAACTGAGATTAAGACTGAGGCTAAGACGAATACTAATACTTCATTAAGGGAAAAAGCGCATTAGTTACGATAAAACCTTTTTTGTGTTCCCAGTTAGTAAGCTCCATGATCCTTTAAGTAAGGCTCGAAACGTCAGGCTAAAGCCCTGAACACAAGCCTTACTTCATGGTTTGGAGTTTAGGGTTTGCAAAATACCCCCGAAGCCCGAGGCCTATAATGCTAAACGCCCTAAAGCTCTAGAGCCCGGAACTCAAGACCTCAAAACCCTCAAAACTAAAACCCTAAAGCTCTTGAAGGACTGCTGGCCTCCGTGGGACTTATGGGCATCGCTCTAACGAAGGCAGGCACCTGGTCGAAACAGGAGGCCATGGCCGGCGAGTGTGTTTGTGTGTGTTTGCGGTGTGGGAGGGGTGGGCAGTGGGGTGGGTCAGGGATAGCATTTCGCAGATGTAGGGCTTTTGTTAGTTTAGGGTTTGGAGTGTACGGTTTTGGCTTGAACGACACGGTGTTCCCACACCTGTACAGATGTTGATGTTGAGCAGTCGCAGCAACATCGCTGTTTCTGAGGAGGATGCTGGCCACGCAGAACCGATGCCGGCTATAGCCGTCCCTGCATTGCATGTCTATCGTGGCTGTATGTTTACCAACATTCCTGCCACTGCTTGCTATTATGTTTTGTGCTTGCTTCCGGACGATAAGCTTTAACCCTGTGGCAGGCAGAGGGTGGTTTCGACATCTTCCTTTGGTCAACGGTGCTTACAGCCGTCGGCGGGTCCATGACAATGCCCCTCGTTCAGGGTTCACTAGTCGTAATGCTGGCTTCTTGTACCAAGCATAGCTCCAAGCATAGCAATGCAGTCATAGCATGTCTTTCTTATTTATACACCCCAGTTCTAAGCTCTGAACCCCGACAGAATGGTTTTGAGGGTCTGGGCCTTTGCCTTCAAGCGGATTTTCGGCCGAAGATGAAACCTTAGGAGCCCTAACAGGGATCGTAAGATAAAGGCACTTCAAGGGATGGGTTTAATCAACGAGGGGTTTGCAATACTTAAGTTCTCTGAGCTGTTTCTCTGAGGTTTATCGGCTACCAGGCGCCATTCATCATTCCTTCAAGCACCTTGCCCGCAGTCCAGCTTGGAGTTTGGGGTTCAGGGCTTCGGGGTTCAGAATTCAGGGTTTCCCTTTCCGGGTTTATAGTTTAGAGTTGTCTGAGGTAGTTGTCAAAACACTCATATGTTCAGGCTTTCCGGCCCAAATTTGCCAAAATACTATAACCTGTTTCTTTGCTTACGAGTATGTAAGAGTTTTGCCAAGATTCCCAGGCTCCCTTTCTTGCCTGGGGCTACAAGCCCTCAGCCTTTGCCCAAAACCAAACCCTGAAGCCGTAGGTCGAAGCCCTAAACACGAAAGCCGAAACTTGCAGAGTAACCTCATACCGTAGTGCCCTTGCAGAAAGCCTCTTAGAGTAACCTTGACAGGATGCCCCGTACCGTCTGAGAGCAGCGGCGCTGACCGAGGCTTCACGCTCTTGATTGAGGTGAACAGCTGCCTCTTCGATGCCGGCACCATCATCTTCCCACTGCTCAAGGTGTTGTACGACTCTTCGGCGGCACCTGAGAGCTTTTCAGTGTTCAGCCAGCGGATCCGGAACTCTCCCTTCAAGACTTGGGTTCGCAAGCTTCTAGCCGTGGCGACTGTTGCACTTATGCAGCCGCGGGCTGGGGAGGAGAGCAGGTATGTAGGAAGGTGGGCAGCCGGGAGGTAGGTGGGTACGCAAGTGTGCACTGACGTGCCGCATCTCATGTGCTCGTGCATGCGCGCACGTACACCTGTATGCATGATGCACGCATGCTTGTGTAGACTCTGTGGACGTCTTGGTCCCGTCGCGTATCTAAATTCCGCAGTGTTTTTGATGTTCGAGTTTCAGGAAGTTGGGGAAAACAACCGTATCGTTCAAATAGTAGGATCCTTATAAGCGACCAGAACACTTATTTTAACAGAAAGGGACGCTGTGGGGCTCCGTTTTTTCCACTCATGTAGTTTTGTGTGTTTTACTTACATCTGTAGTTTTGTATGTTTTTAAATTACATCTGTTCATATTGTTTTTGATCTTATAGTTACAGAAAGGTACGCCGTGGATTTTAAAGGGTCGGAAGATTCGGCAATCAAGCCTTAATGTCGGGGTCGGAATAAGTACCAATAGTAATAGTCGCCCCTTATCGTTCATATAACTTCGTTGCTGACATCCCAAAACCCTATGCTAATTGATTTTCGAGGTCCCTCTAGCCCGTATGACTCCCGATAAAGCCCTAGAGAGACTTCCAAATGTTGAGGCCCCTAAATGCGTGAAGCGGTTGTGGAATCTCCTGGGGCCACGGTATAGGGTTTAGGGTTTAGGGTTCAGGGTGGGTGTTGGCAGCGCGACTGCTGCGAGTTGAGGATGTAGGACTGTGGTGATGTAGCATAAAGCAAGCGCCCTAATCCCCAAATTGTGTCCATCATGAAGCTTACTTTTCTTGGCGCTCCTAAGCTCACGATCTCAATTTTCCCTCACTTTCACTACAAGGGTGTGACTGATTTGTTAGTCCCTTCACAATCATACCATGACAGACCCTTGAACCCGATTGACTAGATCAGAGTTATCAGGGTCCCTATTCTTGAACTGCACCTACGGCCTCCTGTAGGATTTCGGTGCCTCAAGGCTTAAAGGGGCTCCCCGGGTAGAAACACTTGTTTGGTTCTCCAGGACTTGGATGTGCAGCTACGACCGCTGCTACTGCTACTGCTACTGCTGCTGTTGCTGCTGCTTCTCCTGCTGCCACGACTAGTGCTACAACTGCCGGTCTCTGACCCCAAGAACCCCAAGCCATATAGCCAACTGGCAATACCCTGAGATTGAACGCACAAAATCCCAAGGACTTGGGTGTGCCGTTCAGCGCATTCTTTTGGGCATACACGGTGCTGGGATTCATCTGCTACTCGCTCTTCTCAGTCTCCTGGGGCATGAACCAGATGCTCGGCTCTCTTCATATAGGGCGTAGGGTTTAGGCTTGCTTGGCTTGCTTAGCTCAGAATTTGCAAGGTTTCAAAATGCTTCCATGGGGTTTCCTAGGGTGAAATGGTTTCAGCCCATGCGAAGCTCTAAACCGTGAGCACCGAACTGCAGCCGGCCGTACATCCCCATAGTGGGTTGGCCACTCTTCCAGGATAGTTGTAGGTTGCTCCTGCAGGGGAACGGCACACCATCTTATTCTTGTCTGTGACATCTTCAGGGTTTCCAGCTTTTGGGGGTTTAGGGCTGAGGGGTCTGGGCTGACAGTTTAGGATTTAGAGATGATGATTTACCTATTTCGGGCCAGCATGTCTGGCAACAGCCGTAACCACAGTTGCATGTGGGCTGTGCATTGGCCGGCCAGGGCGTGTCGAAACGGACAGTGACCTGTGACTGCAGGGGCATTCCAGCAGGTTCTTGAACCCACGCAAGTCCCAACCTCCAAAACTCCCAGACGCTGGAACCAGAGCAACCCAGAAACTCCTAAATCCTAAACCCACCTCTGCCACTTCCCGCATTGAAGGAAGGAGCTTGACGAGATCCGCGCTGCTGCAGGCACTTGGAGCTTTGAAAAGAGCCAGGGGAGAGGTTACGCTTTGTTGGAGTGTCCAATGCAGTTCTCGGACCATCGAACTGGAGATTCTTTGAATTCGGAAGCTATAATATCTAGCCCTACCTGCAAAGTGAAGTTCCGGAGATTCAGAACGGAAGGGCAAGGTATAGAGCTTTTGTTATAAAGCCCTTATAGTCTAGGCCCTAGACCTAGACGATTACCAAGAGTTTGCCATAGGGCTCCTAAAGATACTTGTAGTGTAATGTACCAAAAAGCCTCATTCTAGTTTTGTGGGTCCCTGTACATGCGGCCTCAAGAACTTGCTGCTTCAGGGTTGTGTGTTTGAGAAGATTGAGGCTTTATAGCCCTAAGGCCTAAACCTTGGCCTTATATTTGGGGTCTATGGTTTAGGATGATGAATAACCACTCTAATGTAGATGTGCAGTGAAGTAATTGCGACCTAAGCTCTTGCCCGAATTCTTTGACCCCACACCCCTATACCCTACAACTGGCCTAGCCTAAACCCCAAATCCTCTAAATCATAAATCATAAGCACCCGAAGACGGGTAGCTAAGAGGGACTGACAAGGCCTTATGAGGGCAGCCCCCCTACCCGCCTTCCCCCCCTCCCCCCCGCCGACACCCAAAGCCAAACCCGAAATGCTATGACCCTAAAGCGTCGTCAACGTGATCCCCAAGCCGCTAAACTCTCACCCCCAAGCCCTGACCTGGCGAGATCCGGACGATGTGATGGCCTCTGCAGGTGGCGACGACCAGGAAGGGCCCGAGCATCATCGCCCTCTGGAGCCTCGAAACTGTCATGGAGGGTAATTAATCAAGAAGTTAACCCTAAATAGTTACAAATATCTACCAATATGATTGCTTAGAGCTCCTTAATCAACAATATATTATAATGGAGCCAAAAACCCTATATTCTAATTACCAAGCCCGCTACGTTACGAAGTTTGAGGCGGTAGGGTTGCGAGCCTGGAAACTGTCACGGAGGGGACGAAGTTTCATGGGATGTGTAAGGCCTTGACAGGATGTTTAGGGTTTTGTTGTTGTAAACCTTCGGGACACTGTAAGAACCCATGTTGCTGAGGATGGAATCAACCCAAAATCCCGGATCCTAAACCTTGCAATACCGGTGTCTGAAAAATTTATATTATTTCAGGGTTTAGGGTTCAGGGTATTCTGCAGGATGCCACCTCAGTCTTTTTGTTAACTATTCCACATCTCAGTGCGAATTACGAAGCACCCTGCAGTAGAGCCCTGAAGCCTGAATGTCCTAAATCCCTGAACCCCTAAATCCCTGAACACCATAACCCTAAACCCTGAAAGCCCTAAACCCTGAACATAACAGACCCTTTGACGCCCTATGAGCCCTAAGCCCAAAGTGAAGCTCTCACTCCATGGATCTTCCAGGAACAGCGAGGCATGTTGGCGCAGCTGAAGAGCTGCTGGGCCCGAGTTCTGGAAAAAAGTTTTATAGGGGCCTACGGTTTCATAGGGGTTCAGGGTTTCGGGTTTAGGGGCCTTGGTAAATAATCAGAATAGGGTGGTGGGGTAGATTCTACTGTAGCAATAATAGTAGCAACAAAATAGTGTTGGTAGTTATTTTTTGGGTTTCTATAGTAGGCTTGTGAGATAACTGCGAGCTTTCCGGTTACAGCCCGAACCCCATCTCCTGATCATGTAGCCTCCTGTAGGACTCCACGCCCTAAGTTCAACCTGTCAAATCCCAAAGCAGCACATACCTACAGCATAAGCCCTACAATCCCAACAGCCCGACCACAGCACCGCCGAGAAGGATTTACAAGTAATTACGTACCTATCACGAACCATTCTCAAAATCAGCATCATAAATCCTGAACACCCTAAACTCCGGAGCCCAAAAACTTAAAAACCTGAAAGACCCCTATAAGCCCTAGAGCCGAAAGCCTAAAGCTTCACCCCCAGGACCCTAAGCGACTAAACCCTAAACCCTGAACCCTAAACCCTAAAAGCTCGTGACGTTCTCAGGCTTCGAGTTCGTCTCGATTTTCATCTACAGCATCGTCATGGTCCCCCGGGCCAACATGCTCCTTGGGAGAGTTTCAGTTGCGGTTTCAAGGCTTTGCGGGCAGGGTCAAGGCTTGAGGGTTTAGGGTTTATTTGGGTTCAATTCCTTTGGGTTTAGGGTTTATGAGGTTTAGAGTTTTCTTGGGTCCAAGGCAGTGTTGTTCTGGATCCAGGCACGCGGTCTGCGGAGTGATTTTTTGAGGATTCACTGGACGCCAAGGGTGCGTTAGCTTCCATGTGACATCCCACAGTCAGATGAGGTCAAATCCAACCTGTGCTTTCCAGTCTTAAAGCCACAAAAGCAGACCCTCTCGGCGCTGCTGACCAAGACCCTGCAAGAGTGGTGACAGCCCAGGTACATGGGCACTTTTTCCTTGATCAATCGCCGCTTTGCGCAGGAAAGTTTTAGGTAACCTCGTGGCTTTCAGACCTGCATTAGAGGTCCTAAGATGTATAGGGATCGCAATAAGCATCACCTCATATTTCCTATACAATTATCGTACATTACATTCCGAATTGACATAACCCCGAAACTGGCCCCAAACCCTATACTACTTCCTACGGCCCCCGTATTGTTCTCCTGGAGAGGGCATGGGGGTCTACCAAAGCCTGAAGCAATACACTGCATGAGCTTAGTTAAGTAGTATACCGCCAAAGCTCTTAATTAAGTAGTGGACCAGGTAATCTTGAACTCTTTTGGGGTACTAGATTCTCGATATAATCCCAGAGGTTAACCTTTAGATCCCTAGGTTACTGGACAACGAAGAACTAATATGGGGGTCGCAGTAAATACCAATACCGTTCCTTAGGCTTCCCTGCTGTACTAAAGTCTACTATACTATACTGTAGTAGAGTGTGCCCCAGAGCCTTATTCTAATCATTAAGGCCTCTATTATATGAGATTCCAGATTCCTATGAATCTGTCAACCTCCGCCGCCTCGCGAAGCATCCTTGAATACGTTTTCGGCTTGCATTGCTGGACAATGAACGCAAAAACCTGAGCCCTCAAGCCCTATGCCCGAAAGCCTTAAACCCTAAACCGTAAATCCCTCAACTCTAAAACTCTTCGATGTTTCGGCATCCGGTGCCCCCTGGGTCCTCGTCAAGCAGTATTCTGGGGAGGGGCCGAAGTGTCCAACCCTTCGTGTCTTTAGGGTTTCGGGTGCAAGGCTCGGGGTGGGTTTCGTGGTTTCGGGGTTTAGGTTTCATGCAATCGGTCATGCGGACTGTCGCGAAGCGAGACATTTGACGACTTTGGGGATTCGGGTTTAGGGTTTAGGGAAAGCTCCAAAGAAGTGTCGGCTCTCAGGAAAAATCGCGGAGGCCGAAGGTACAATGTCCAGCCTCAACTTTGTCAACACCGTTACAGGCCTGCTGCTTGCGTTTTGGGTTTGGTGTTTCCGGTGCATATATCACAGCTCAACCTCACCTCCCCAACATTGACATGTGGCTACATCATGTTGATCGGCATGATACTTCCATGAGTCCGGATACAACCCGGCTGAGGAGCAGTAACTTCATCGCTCGCGCCAAACAAACTACATGATCTATATAATCATGACATGGTCATGCATCACAAGCGCTACCCACCTCCATCTTACCACCCGGTCAAACCACATGAACTGAGTCATGTATCCTGCTTAGTTCAAAGCATACATGGCTAGTTGCTGGGTTCCAATCACGCCCGATCGCCTAGATCACATGTTCATGTCATGCCACGTTCTGGTTGCCTTAAAGCTGTTTCTTACTTGTCAAATCCTGAACACCTAAGCGCGGCAACACCCTAAACCGCAAACTAAATCCTAAAACCCTCACCCTAAACCCTAAATCCCGAAGCCCAAATCCCTAAAACCCTAAACCCCTCAACCCTTTACCTTGTTCTGGTTCCAAAGCTCGGTGCCCTGGAATCCTGAACACCAAAAACCTCAATCTGCTGCTTATATACTCAGCAGTACATATCTAGTATATTGTATTATATTATGGTAGATTTTGTGTATTAAATTACGGTATAGCGTGATACATCATTGGTTTCTTTCTCTTGTTCTAGTATATCCGAGGGTGATGCACTTGTGGGAAGCGGCCGCGAGTTGTGGGGCTTTAGCGCGGTAGCCCTTTTAAAAAGGTTCCTTCAAACGGGTCCTTTGAGGGATCTACAAGGGTTCTTTAAGGGATTTAGGGTTCAGGGTTATAGGGCTGTGGGGTTTAGGGTTACAGGTTCGGGCTTTGGGGTTTAGGGTTTTAGGGTCCAGGGCTCTGGGCTTAGACTTTGCTGTTTAGGGTTTAGGGTTGTAGAGCTAGTGTTGGGGCTCGCAGATGGGTTTCCCCTTAGGGTTACGGCGCTCTCGTTGTCCTGGAGACATGCTGCAAGGTTTCATCTGAGCCAGAATCACCGTTAAATTAGGGATAGGCGGACATTCTCTCAACGTAGATGGCCCCAATCTTACGGATTCATTTCCTCTGTGTCGTGTTGTGTACAGTGTTGACAGTAGCTTATACAACCCACTCACAGCAGGACAGGGTTTCTATTGAGGGTATTTGCTCCTCTTGAACCTCGTACTCTTGAACTCTCTGTGGACGAGAATACGTAGTTGAAATGACGATCCTTAAATACGATTGAAATGACGATCCTATGAACCATAAAAATTCCAAACCCCTAAAGCCCGCAGGCCTAAACCCTCCTGTAGGCTTCGTCATTCCATTCGGTTTCGTTGCTGTGCCGCTGATCGAGCTGTGCATGCACAGGCCACTGCACTTGTTGCTTTTTTTCAGTCTTGGGCTTTTATTTTGTTGATCCCTAAACCCTAAACCCTAAACCCCTCAACCCCTCAACCCCTAAACCCCTAAACCCCTAAACCCCTCAACCCCTAAACCCCTAAACCCTAAACCCCTTTAGTTCTAGGGCTTTTCAGGCCTTAG